ATTTTTCACGATTCCTATCAATGAAAAGTAAGCTCACATCTGGCAACATGTCTCTATACTGTACTCGAGCTACTTATGGTTATTTTATTCATAAAGGTATGATTATAAGTAGCCGGCAGGAAAGGTAACTATTTTACGGATAATGTCTGTTATCTCGGTAACGGAAAAGACCTGAGAAGAGATATTTTCGAATTATTCATGTCCTTATGCTTATAAGTAACTTGCAAAAAAGATTTTTCTTCAACTCGTCTGCAAAAAAGCTCCAGTCAAATTTATTTCGACTCGATATGGACACAATTTTAAAACACTGAAAAATTCATAGCTAGAGACATTCTCAAAGATATGTTCGAATACAAAATTTTACTGGTGCATGATTGCCAGCTAGTCCCCACAACCTAATAAAACATCGAGAATGTTTCTGACATTTCTATTTATTTAATCAATAACATAAGCTAATTTCCAACAACAAAATACAATAAACCTTAAAAACAAACTAACCACGAGAAGAATAACACAAATTTAAGTTTCTCTAAGTATAAATCAAATTTGACCTATTGAAAAGCACAGAAAAAATTAACGGAATTGACTTTTAAAGTTAGTATTTTAATATTCTGAATATGAGAATATTGCATGGGTATTTCGAGCAGTGATTATATGTAGAAAGCACTTCATGCGGTTCACACAACTGACAGAAACGCTTTTCAATCCACCTTAAAACTTACCGCTATTTTCGTTCGTAAAGACCTTCTTCCTCTCGTGATTAGCCTTCAAAATGCCCTTCTGATGTTCACGAACAATTTCCACGTTCATAATATTGAAATTCAAACTATAAAACTCAATTCTTCAAATTTTCGTGTTTGTGAAGACATTGATTTTATAACTTGATCAATTGAGTGAAACTAGATGAATTGAGTTAAATGCAGCTGGAGTAACTAGTCGTCTCAGTCAAAAGTTCCGTGCATCACATATGGTGCATCGGACACTCAACGTGTTAATAATAATTTGTTAGGTTATTAGGTATTCAAAATACAGTGCAATCCGTCTATAGTGGACCTTTAGGAGACGTGAAATTAGTGGGAAGATTTTCAAGATATTTTAAATTAAATTTGTTTTCCACTTTTTTAGCAACTAAAACTGCATTTAAAAAAATCAGTATGGGTGAAAGAAATAAAATGAATAGAAAAACACCTAGTGGTGCCGCAAAACGAAAAATTAACAAAGAAAAAAAAGCAAAGCGTGAATCTTTAATATCAAAGATTCCCAAAACAGACACATTTTTAAAAACTCAAAGCAACACAAACTCTACTGTTTTAACTAATATTGACATCAATACTGCAAGTACCAGTGCAGCTAGTGAAATTAAAGATGTAGAAGATAATGAAAATATTCATAAATTTCACGACCAGGAACACAGCATATCCATTACCGACTTAGACTCTGATAGTAGCAGTATCATCAGTGATAAAGATGATAATCCTGTGACAAATGAAAATATTGCAAGAGAGGATATAACAAATGACAATATAGAATATGGAGACCCCAACACGTGATCAATTATTTTGAATGAAAAAACAATTGATGATATAATAAAGAACCTTCCGTGGGCAAAATTTGATGAATTAAATTTTTCAAATTCAAAAATTGTATCAAAAAGTCAAAAGAGGTTCGCATCAAAAAATATTTTTTTCCGAACACTGTTAAATGGAGAAATTAAAAGAAGGAAATGGCTGATTTACTCAGTATCATCAGGGAAAATATTTTGTGTACCGTGTAAATTATTCAGTAAAGATAAAACAGCAAGCTTTTGTTCTGGTTTTAATGATTGGACCTACAACATCAGACTTTCGCAACATGAAGTATCCTTTGGTCATCAAGAAAATATCAGAATATTTACAAATCGGTTTAATATGTCTGGAAAAGTCAACACCGCGATTATGATACACTATTAAATGAAATGGAACTGGAAAAAAGTTTTATTACGAATTGTAAGTGTTATAAAATTTTTAAGTTCAAGAGGTTTAGCATTTCGCGGGAATAATCAAATAATTGGCGACAATCACAATGGAAATTATTTGGGATGTTTAGAACTAATTTCAAATTTCGATCCGTTTTTACATGGATATTCGAAAAATTATGGAAATAAAGGGAAAGGTAATGTTTCGTACTTGTCCGATACTGTGAGCGATGAATTTATAGAAGTCATGGGTAATCATGTAAGGAAATTAATTATAATGGAATTAAAAAAAGCGAAATATTATTCGATTATTATTGATTCGACGCCAGATATTGCACACTTAGACCAACTAACATTTGTAGTAAGATATGTGGACCCTAGCGGAAGTGCTGTAGAGAGATTTTTAATGTTTATAGAAAATGTCGGCCACAAAAGTTCTGCTATGGAAGATGCCATTTTGAACGTAATGGATGTTTTAGAAATCAATTTAAATGATTGTAGAGGGCAATCTTATGATAATGCGGCAAATATGTCCAGGGCTTATTCGGGGCTTCAGTCACGCATACATGCAAGAAATGATTTGACTATTTATGTGCCTTGTGCAGCACATTCACTGAATTTAATTGGTGAATGTGCGGCAGAATGCTGTTTACGAGCTATAAAGTTTTTCATGTTTATGGAAAATTTATATACATTTTTTGCTGCTTCCACTCATCGATGGGAGATAATGAAAAGCTATCTAGAGACGTATTACATTATTGGAATGACGTATTACAAACAATTAATGCTTTCAATAATACGCTGCAAAAAGTCAATTGTGATATTGAAACAGTTGTAAATTTGTATAATTCGTTAACCATGTACCTGTTATCTAAGAGAAATAGGGATTCTTTCAATTACTATGAATCAAACGAAAAACTATTATAGTCAAACGAAGAGTATGAAGCTAAAAGGATCTGCAAAAGAAAAAAACACTTCGATGAGACTAATACAAGCGATACTGAATTTGATGCGAAAAGTGATCTGCGTATAAATATGCATTGTATGGTAATCGACTCTTTACCAGCAGAGATTAATAAAAGAAAATGTGCATATAATGAGATAGATGAAGCATTTGGGTTTTTAATGCAGCTTGTCAAACTTGATGATGATACACCGACAGATGAGCCTCTGACGTTTGAGCCCCGACAAATGAGCCTACCGACACTTGAGCTCTTGACATTTCAGCCTCCCGATACGTGAGCCTTCGACATTTGAGCCTGTCGCAGATAGGCATTATATGACTGAGTTCGATACTATTAAGGAACAGGCTAATTGATTGATTGATTGATTAAAATGTCATATTCACGCTAATTAATGTCTATTGTAAAATCTTCTAAAGATAAAGATCAACTTCTTCTTGATGGTTTTCGTTATCGTCGTGCAAATAAAAGTCAAGTTACGTGGCGTTGTGTTAAAAATAATTGTTCTGGCCGTGTAACTTTTGATGGTACACAATATATTAAATAATACATGCCAATTTAATTATGGCTAAGAAGTTAGAAGCTGGGCTTGTAAAATTGACAAAACGTGCGGCATATGAACAAATGGACGAACAACTACAACAGTTAATTACCACTTTTAACATAAACACAAGAAAGGAGTATTTTAAAAGAGCAAGAGCTTTGTTTAATTTTTGAAATTAAAAAAATAAAAGTCGTATAATGTCTGTCTGCGACAGGCTCAAATGTCGAAGGCTCACGTGTCGGGAGGCTTAAATATCGGGGGCTGAAATATCAAGAGCTCAAATGTCGGTAGGTTCATCTGTCGAGGCTCATTTGTCGGGGCTCAAATGTCATAGGCTCAACTGTCGTGTCACCCTTGATGATGATATTATAAGAAAAAAAGCTGCTGAGTTATAAGAAGTATACAAAAATGACACTGAAGAAAATTTCATAGAAGAATGTATTCATTTTAAATATATTATTTCCAATATCAATCACAATACATTGTTACATTCGAAAGCCGAAAATTTTTTAAAATTTATCGTGGAAATAAAACATAGAGTCTAGTTTTCCAAACATAGAAATCGCATTAAGAATGTTTCTCAGTATTGTTATAACAAACTGTAACGGGGAAAGATCATTTTCTGCTTTGAAGCGCATAAAAAACTACTTACGTTCTAATTTGGGGCAAAGAAAACTAAACAATTTAAGTATTTTGGCTATAGAATCTGATTTTTTAAAAGACGTTGACTTTGATGAAATTATAGACAAATTTGCCCAAAATAAATTACGTAAGATGAATATTTAAATACGATGATATTTTTTTCTTATATTAATTGAAATTGTGTTTAATTAATGTTTTTATTTATTTTTGTGATTTTTATATTATCTAATATAGAATACCTAGAATGAAAATGTAAATGTGGTTACTTTTTTTAACACTAAGAAAAATAGTTACCCATATGATCTCTTTTTTTATTTTCTTTATTTTTATTAAAGGAAGAAGCATTTTATATTTCTCTAGTATATATATACACCTATTTTTTTTCTAAATAATTAACTATTTATGAATTCCAATAAAAAAAATATTATATTCATTTGAAATTAAATTTTTTATTGAATGATACTTCAAAAAATCCTAAAACTTTACAGTAGTGATTTTCATAAAAAATATAACATATACATAAAAATTATTGCATCTATTGACGCGTACATGTTACTACATTACAAAGATATTTTTTTTAATTCTTAGAAAAACGAGGGGCCCACATTAATGATTAACACAGGAGCCACAAATTTCTTAAAACAGCTCTGACTGAACAGCTACAATATTGTTTGAACGGTAGTATAAGAGCTGTGAATTTTGGCGTACTGTTGGTACAGTACAGTACTACAGAGTGCCATATAGAATACAGCAGATAAAAATAAAAATAAATGAAAATAATACCTAACCAACCCAAAAACTATTCCGGTCAGTCCACGTAACGGTAGCTTTTTTTGGCAAGTTTTCATCGCGGAACTGAATGAAATGAGCACATATCCAGATGCTTTTTCTGTGTTATTGCTTGAGGAAAGCTTACTTTTAAATCTTAAACCTCAATTTTAGATTTTTTGAAAACAGTATTTTCGATTTCCTCATCTAGACACTTTTTTTGAAAAAAATTTAAAAATATGTCATTCGACAAAGAATTGAATTCTCTACAAAATCACGTGTTTGTTTTAAAGTTTGGACAAAAGATGTCGAAGTTATGAGACTTTTATGTTTCAAATTTGTTAGATATACTGTACAAGCTCAACAACTGGCAGGAACTTGATTCTGGCGTAGTTCGATAGCCCATGTCGAGCACTCTCTGGAATATAAAAATCAAGTGTTTTGATAAGTGTTTAAGGCTTCAAAAAACCTGATAATTTCTCAAAACGTTATTCCGTCACGACAGTTTATTCAACCTGGAAAAGCAAATTTTTGAATTTTTTGAATTTTCTTTTTTTCCTACGTGTAGCCTATTAAGGAGGCTACAACTCTGCTGTGTAAAGTGTTTTTGTGGAACCTTTCCTTGTGCTAATTTTTCACTTTCTTTAGAGTTAGGTCGAAGTCAAAGTACGTTTTGAGTTATTCCGTTACGGCCTATCTTTTTTGCTGATAACTTCCAGACCAAAAATCCGAACTGGGGAAAATTTTCAGTATTTGTAGTACACATGATCTCACATATTCTACAAAAAGTGCAGCCTTTCCTGACTTAAATTGGCTGAGATATTCAAAATAGGAAATGAAAAAACATTATTCCGTCACGCTTGGATTGGCCGATTCAAGATTTATACAGATATCGAAAATCTGTCAAGATTCTGCTACTTAATTCATAACGAATTAATTGCTTCGTTAGAATCAGTTACATATTTTGATCAAGATCTTGATCAAGTTTTTTCAAGACAGATTCTGTAACAAAACTTGACGGCAATCTTGAACTGTAAGATGATCTCGGAATCTTGTCAGATATCGATAAATCTCAAGGGGGAAAAGCCTCACTTTAAGTGTGTGCACCCCCAAGTTAAGTGTTACTTTACGTATTTAAGTCCTGAAGTGTCATTTCAAAGTTAGCATCTTCCTGGAAAAGTCAAGAATTTAGTCTCCAAAGGGTGTCTCAAGAGTTCTGGGCCTCTCCGTATTTTGACGATAACTTTTTTTCTTTTCAACACTCAGACATAGTTTTCTTCAAAAGATGCGCCATCAAATTCTCTACAAAATGTGTGCTAAGTGTTTTATTCCAGAACAGAAAAGTGAAAGACTGCATGAAAAGTACTGACAAATTTTGAGACTGCCAACTTTCCAACTAAGAAAACAGTTTTTTGGTTTTATTCTTTGACTTTTTAAGACATGAAAAAATTAACGCTCGTCATTTCGTAGCGCTTGAAAAACTCTATCTTCTAGCTATAATTAAAATTCTTCGCAACTAGTTACATAAAAATTCTTTTGCTTTTAGTAGTTTTGCCAGAAATCATCGTTTTAGCGTAGCAGTTGGAAAGTCGAAGTTTCTCAGTATTTTTCATGCAGTCTTTCACTTTTCTGTTCTGAAATAAAACACTTAGCACACATTTTGTAGAGCATTTGATGACGCATCTTTTGAAAAGGCTTATGTCTGAGCGTGGAAAAGAAAAAAAATTATCGTCCAGATACGGAGAGGCTCGTAACTTATGAAACACCCTTTATATGTTCCGAAATATAAAATATATGGAATGCGACTGTTCGGCGTCATACGAGTCTGTTTGTCTTCATCATTTTAATGAACAAAGTTAGAAAGCATCTCGGCTAAAACACGTAACAGTCACCCTTAGTTGCGGAGGGTTGAGCGATATTTTTGAGCGTGGCAAAGAAAAAAATTATTGTCAAAATACGGAGAGGCCTGTAATGGTATACAAACGAATGCTTTCTCCATAAGCTACTCAATAAAGCTCTTCGCACGGAAGACATCGAACTGCTCTACCTATTTCATTACTTCATCATCGATCTGTGTAAACATCTCGAGGAAGAAAGTCGACTGTTGCCAAAGATCGATGTGTTAACACTCTATCGTGGATCCAAGTTGCCGAATGCGGAATTCGAACACCTTCGAGAAAGTTTAGGAGTTCTCATCACAACCCATGGCTTCTTTTCTAGTTCAACAGACATCAGTGTTGCTCTCCGATTCGCACGAAAGAAACGTAAAACTGAAGATAAGAAGACCGTGCTCTTTGAAATCACAACTGATCCTAAACTGAAAACAGTTGTTGTCGCTGACATCGACAAGTACAGTGTGATCGCGGATGAGAAAGAGATTTTGTTTAGCTTCGGAGCAGTATTCAAAGTTGAAACTGAGGAGTATGATGAGGGACTAAAGTTGTAGAAAGTGAAGATGACAGCAACAGATGGAGGATCTCACGATGTACAGCTGTATCTTGAAATACAGAAAAAAGAACTGGAAGAATGTAGTCCACTGATATTCTTTGGTGTACTACTCTGGCGCTATATGGGCAAAATCGAAAACGCTGAAAACTATTTCAGGGTGCTATTGAGTACGAACACGAAGATTTTGACAGTATTTATAACAACTTAGGGAATATCAACGGCGAAAAAGGGGAGCTAAATCTTGCATTGGACTACTATGAACGTGCATATGAAATACGCATCAACCGTTTCCCTCCGACACATCCACGTATTGCAGCCTCTCTGCACAATATTGGCGAGCTCTATCGATGCAAATGTGATTATATCCGTGCGCTAGATTATTATAATCAGTCGCTTGCTATGAAAGAAAAGTTGTATTCTAGTGACCATCTTCAGAAAGCAATGACACTAGCAAATATCGGTCTAATTCACAAAAAGAAAAGACTCCATGGCACAGCATTAACGTGTTTTGATCGAGCTTATGCAACGCATAAGCGATTGTTACCTGAACACCATCCTTCAATTACTGACGACCTTTGGAAAATAGGTGGAGTCTATGCAGATCAAAGAGATTATCAATGTGCACATGAATACTATCATCAGGCATATGAAATCGAAGAGAAAATTTATTCAATCGATCATCCAAAATTGAGTACGAGTTTGAACACTCTGGCTAACACCTACAGGAAATCAGGTGATATCCAATCCGGATTAGCTTTTTGTGTAAGACAGTTCGAAATACAAAGAAATTTACTTGGAAAAAGAACTCACCTCAGAATTGCTCGTACTTTGATGACAACTGGCGATCTATTCATTGGTAGTGACAATAACAAACTTCTGAATTTATTACACAGAAGCGTCTCAAATATTAGAGCTACTTGATCCTCCAGATTACAAAGCCTTTTATGACTGTTGGCGAATGCTTAGTGCTATTCATGCCAGTTGTAAAAATTTGGTTCAAGCACTCACTGATATAATACATACTTTGATTTCTATAGTTAATTGATGGACGTAGCATATCCAATTCAAACCGCCAATGCTGGGGATGTAAACATTGGCTTCGTTTCACAAGAACCTATCTTATTCAATCTATCTATATGTAATAATATTGCCTACGATGTTCATAGTCGCCAGTTATCGATTGATGAAATAAGTGCAGTAGCTCAGAAAGTTAATATTCATAATTTCATACAATTCTACTAGAGGTAATTTCTTAACTCGGCTGCATTGTATGTAAATTTATTCGTTGCTCTTATCTACAGAGTTATAAAACAAATGTAGGACAAAAGGGTATGTAGTTGTCTGACAGTGAAGAACAACGAATTGTAATAGCTCAAGCTGTAGCACAAAATCCCAAAATATTGATGCTGGATCAGGCTACAAGCGCTCTGCATAGTATTAATGAACTGTACGTTTGGTTATATTCTTTTGATAAATCCATGTGAAACTGTAGACATACAAACGAAAGAGAACGTGATGATGCACATTCTATAAGGTAAGTTTTTATCATCTGCGCTGCTTAATGTAATAATATGTACCGCAACAAAGTAAATCAAAAAAGTGATAAGATAATAAATGTAAAATAATCGTAAAAATGACAATATTAAAATATTGCTTAGTTATTAACTACTCTCGTTTGCTTGTTTTTCCTTTAAAAGGATAAAAGACATTGATTCCGTCAAAAAGACTTTGTAACAGAGGGCATAACCCATAGCACACGCGTACACAAAAAAATGAACTTTTGAAAACGTATCAAGAGTAATATAATCAAAAATGGTAGTCTATATTGCACCACAACAACAACAACAATGGACAAGTAATTATAATAGGAGAGATAGATGAAAACTTGTTTATTACTAGCTGATACAGAAAGTTAATTTAAAAACTTCTTGATTGCCGCTTTAAAAGGCCGACTGGCTTACAATTTGAAAAGCATAACCGTCCTTTCTATTTTCTTATGCTTATAGCTGGTCTATTCGGGTGTTTTGAAGATTGTGGTATATGTTTTTATGGTTGGTGTTGTCCATGTTGTTTATATGGACAAAATGCATCAAAAATTGATGGCAGTTCATGTATCGGTTCTTGTTCTCTTTGGCTCTCCCTATACATGTGTAATTTTATGTGGTGTACACATAAGGATACACGTCGTCGTCTACGTCATAAATATGGCCTACCTGAAAGTGGTTTCTGCGATAGTGATTGTTGTACAAGTTTTTGTTGTCATAACTGTGCCTTATGTCAGGAAGCAAGAGAATTAAAAAATCGAGGTATTTATTTCGTGGTGATCTTTTTTGTTTGAGACACTTCATTTTTTTTAATTTTCTTTAGAAGGTTTGCCTGCTCTCGGTCAGCAGCAGATTATTATTCAACAGCCCACGGCAATGGGTATGATGGCAACACCTAATCAACAAGGTACATATTTTGTACCAACACAACCAGAACAAGGTGTTTTGCCAGCTGTAGTTACACAACCAATGACCGCGCCACCAGATTATAAATAATAAAAAAACTAAACGAAGAAAATATTACATTTACACGCACTGTGATTCTTTTCTCTTTTTCAATAATAAATCAAAGGTTAATCTTGATAGTTATGTTGCAGCTACTCCATGTACAAGTTCTATGTAGCGTACGCTTTTGCATGGGAAACAGCTCACAAGTTAGAATTAGGATGTACTGATCAATTTTAGTGAGTTAAAGATAAGTCTGTTACTAAATCTAAAACTCTCACTAGGAACAAAACGGGAGTTGTAAAGGAATTCTTACTTCATCTTCTGAGTTATATGTTCAGAAACTGAGCAATTATGCACCAGTAAAATTTTGTATTCGAAAATATGCCTCTAGCTATGAATTTTTCAGTGTTTTAGAATAGGCGTGTTCCATAAGAAAGTTGGTATAGTCTATCCTGAGATTAGCTGAACAAGTTGTCATTTGGTCCCTAGGGGTTTCTTGACACGAACATTTTTAAAATACATCCAAGTCTCTAACGTCAAACCTAGACTGGAAAATTGGTTTTCAAACTTTAAAAACCTTCATTTTTCCTAAATTTGAAATCACTCAAGATGGGTAGGTGATATAAAACTGGTTCAAACGTCACTCGATAGAGAATTTAAAACCGAACAAACGTAGGTGTTAACACCTACGTTTGTTCGGTTTTAAATTCTCTATCGAGTGACGTTTGAACCAGTTTTATATCANTTATATCACCTACCCATCTTGAGTGATTTCAAATTTAGGAAAAATGAAGGTTTTTAAAGTTTGAAAACCAATTTTCCAGTCTAGGTTTGACGTTAGAGACTTGGATGTTTTTTAAAAATGTTCGTCTTTTCATGCTGAATCCGAATATCATATTGAAAAGCTTTTTCTAACGCACAATATTTTACAAAACTCATTTTTTCCGACACTTATAGATGAAAAATCATGCTTTTCCAGAAACCATACTTCCAAGGCTTTTGGAGAAAACTTTCTAGAGACAAAAAGAAAGAGCGTGTCAAGAAACCCCTAGGGACCAAATGACAATCTGATCTGTTTAGCCATTTTTAAGATAGTTTTCTCGTGGAACACGCCTATTGTATTCATATCGAGTCGAAATAGATTTGACTGGAGCTTTTTTGCAGATGAGTTAAAGAAAAATCTTTTTTGCAAGTTACTTATAAGCATAAGGACATGACTAATTCGAAAATATCTCTTCTCAGGTCTTTTCCGTTACCGAGATATCAAGCATTATCCGTAAAATAACTAACTTTTCTGTCGGCTACTTATAATCATACCTTTATGAATAAAATAACCATAAGTAGCTCGAGTACAGTATAGAGACATGTTGCCAGATGCGAGCTTACTTTTTATTGATAGGAATCGTGAAAAATCAGAAAT